TATTAAACAACTTCTTCCAAGTGTTTTGAATTTGGTAGAATACTTTCCTCGAAAATATCTCATATATGTACTACATGAGTGATGTATCTATAAATACAGAAGCATTAAATTCAAATGCCTACCAAAGAAAGACCTTTGAAAGTGGTAGAATCAGGGCCATTTAACATTTCAAGTCAGTGCTTTGGCCAAAATAGCAAATGTGGAGCACAAAAACTGCCTAGTAGATTTTGTCCTCAAGGCCTTAAAAGAGTTCCGTATTTTTTTTTTGAAAGAGTGATTTAAATTCTTTCTATTACTTTGAGTTAGATGGGAAAAAAGAATAATTATTCATTTTTATTTCCTTCTTTGAGGGTCTCTTCTGGAAATTTCTACTTAAGCTGAATTTGTGCTTGCACTGAAAAGAGAACCATTGAAGATTTTATAATTTTAGTCATTAGCATATGTAGATTGGAAAAGCCTGGCTAAAATTTCATTAGATACTTTTCGTATGCACCTTAAAAGGTAAAGACTATCCTGAAATTGCTTTATTCTGTTCAATTCCATTCCAATAATAGCACATATGAGGGATAACCCTGTGTTACCGTTTGACAGACTGGCCTTGTACAGAACCGTATACAAAAAAGAATTATTCTCTACATTCATGTAAAAGCATAACATTTACAACTGGGTTGGGTACACTATTAAATATAGGCTTAGAAATAGACCCTGTTGTTTTTGCAGGTGTGGAAAGTAATGTATAGGAAAAAAACCCTAAACTAAACAACTGTTGCAAATTATGCCTATAACCCGTGCCTCATGAGTAGCAAATATGTCCCTGTTTGTGAGAACAGGTAATATTTCTGAAGTTATCTGAAAAAAGCCTTCCTCTAAAATATAGTGATGTCCTGTAATCACAAAGAACGTTCATTTTTATTGCCAACAGAGAGGTTAAACTTCCCTCCAATCTGCTGTCGCATAGGTACCTTGTCCGTTTCAGTATTGAGCCTCCCAGCTTTGTTCAAGGTGTTGTGGAGCCTGTGAGCCCCACATTTTACATGGCAAGGCAAAAGTAGAGATGATGGAATTTAGGAAAGCTTTATGAAAGGGTTTTGCAGTGTTAGGACTCCCACGCAGGGCCTCAGACTTAGGCAAGTGCTATATTCTTTTGATGCGTCCTTGGCCTTGGGTCCAGACTTAAAGGCTGTTGTCTTGCTGATCCTAATGAGTTTGACAGGATCTTTGACTTTAGTTTTATCTTTCTCTTTAGTTTTTGTTCTTCTGTAAACCCAAATTGTTCTATGAAAACCTATGGTGGTTAAGGTGAGGGATTAGTAGAAGGAATGCGACTGTGGTAGCAGCTGCAATGGAATCTACATTACTTACTGTTGGGGACAGAGTCTTGGTGTGTGATCCTCGGGGTAACAGGTGTATCATCCAGAGAGGAAAGAATTTTGCCAAGTAGATTTTTTTGAAAAATTTTAGAAAATAATCTGTGTTTGAGAATGATGGAATACACCAGACACAACAAATAATTCCTATCTTAACCAAGATTTATAGTGTATCACTGCATAAATGAGTGAAAATGACCTACTGATAGATCCATCACGAATAGTTTTGAAATTCAATATAGATGAGTCTCATCTAAAGGAACATTAGTTGTGAAAAACATAGAAGAAATTTCATGCTGACTAAATGAGTTAATCTTTGAAGTTAATTTAGAAGTTATCTCCAAGGCTGGCATCTGTTCCTTCAATTTTTCTTTTATTACTGTGTTAGATTCTCTCTACATGCTTTTGTACTTACACTAAACGAATCCTTAATTTCCTAGGTAAAGATGGTAGTCATGTTAAATGGAAGTGGGGTGAATGTCCATTAGCGGGCCAACTTATAGCTTAGGTATTTAAGGACATGTATAAGTAAGGAAGAGAGAAAATGCATGATATATAAAATGCTGTGATGCTGTTAATTAGCTCCAAATTACGTTTCCATTAATAGGGAAAGAAAAATAATTCAGATCACACAGTTGATTAATTTCTGTTGATGGCAATACATCTCATATTTTTCTCATACCCGGTGCTGACATTCTTGATTATCAAAACATGTTGCTGCATTACATTTTGAGCTTACATATCCAACAGTTCTAAGCAGTTTGTTTTCCTTTTGCGCATTTATTTGATCTGTAGTAAACATTCAATTTCCAGTGAGTCAGAACACAAATGTTGCCTGATTATGCTCAGCAGCATATTTCCCATTGCAGACGACTGTGACAGTAGACATGGGAGCGATGTGTTGACAACACCCAGGAACATCTCTTGGTGGAGCAGGGGCAAGTGGGTCACCTGCTTTCTGGCCCAGTCCGGGGTGAGATTCCCACACTAACCAATCCTTTCATTACTGGTGCAGCTGAGTGTGAACAGAAGATCCACAGCCCCAGCGGTCACATCACCAGTCCCAACTGGCCAGACAAGTACCCAAGCAGGAAAGAGTGCACGTGGGAGATCAGTGCCACCCCTGGCCACCGGATTAAATTAGTAAGTGAGCTCTTCTTTGTCCTATGGATTTGACAACTGTGTCTTTCTCAACTAGCACACGAAGGACAAAAGTCTATGTATGAAATGAAATGAACTCAAATGAAAGCAGTAGGTAGTGGAAAAGATTCGTCTTCTCATGTTTTCTACTTACACTAAACAAATTTGATTTGCTAAATAAAGGTACAGCCACATTGTTCTCCTCCTGGGTTCTTTCTCTGGATGGTTTAAACAGTGTTACCAAAGTGCTACATTAGTCAGCTCTACTTGCTACCAGTTATGAAGTTTCTAAGTGGGTAATGATGTTTCTCAATGGAAGAGGAAATAGAAAGAAATTCAGCAAAAAGCAGCAGCATAACAATTCACTTGAACATAACATAAAATATTCTACTGGTTACCTCAACTCTATATGAGTCATGCACACATAATACAAGTTTATAGTCAGCTTTTCCTGTGATTTACAGAATGCCATTTTTGCATGATACATTACCCTCTGCAAGTGCATATTAACATTTTTATATTTCTCCCAAGCATTAATCTATATAATACATGTAGAAATATACAGGTGGATTTACCCATTGTATTTTTGAGTCTTATAATGTAGTATATTCATCTGTTAGTTAATGATACATTTTATTTTAGAATACAATGTCTGTAAGTTATATTTTAAGGCAATAAAATTATAGAAATATAGAACTTTAAATAATTTCCTGAAATATGCTGCATTTAGAATAGGAGGAAGATGGCTCAGTATAACAAGCACTTCTCTGGCAAGCACAAGGGACTGAGTTCAAGCCCTGGATACCAAAAAAAA